GTAACTGGAAGATGAGAGGAGGTGACAGAAATAAAATGTGACTTCCTAGTGGCTAAAAATTTTCTAAACACAATAAAACTGATAAATCCACAGATCCAAGACCCCAATCATCACCAAACACAAGAAACATGAGGAAAATTACATTAAGGCACAACATAATCAAACTACGCAAAGTCAGGGACAAAGCAAAAATCTTAAAAGCTGCTGAAGCAAGAAAAAAGTACTGTTACACAGTAAGAAACAAAGATAAGACATGAGATTTTCCACTGGAAACAATGCAGGTGAGAAGATGGTGGGGCGCCATCTTTAAAGTACCGAGAGAGGGAAATGCCAACCTAGCATTCTATACCCAGCAAAAGTATCCTTCAAAAACAAAGGCAAAATAAAGGCATTTTCAGATATCTTAAGCTTAAAGGCATCATCACCAACATATCCACACAAAAGAAATGTAATAGGAAGTCTCTTAGGCAAAAGGAAAATGGTACTAAGTGGAAATATGGATCTGCACAAAAGGACAGAGAAAGAGTGATCCATGGCATATGTTGATCCCTTCTTCTACCAGCCAACTCCTAACAGGCTTTCAAGACCACCACCTTTGAACCCAGCTGGGATCTGAGACCCCCCCAAAACCCTCTGGTTACCCCCTGGCACGTCCCCTACTGCATTGTACTGGTTCACGCATCGTTCTTTTCTAGAAACGTGTGAGCTCCTGCAGGCAGGGCTATGGGCTGATGCTGGCACTTAGCTGATACCCAAAAACTTGAGTGGATCAGTGTCCTAATTTAAGGCATGGCTGCCGACGTCAGGAGACACTTAGGAGGTACAGCCAATAGGTCTCCTCACTGGTCACCAAAGTAGAGTCTACTTCAGTGCTGCCTCAACTTTAGTCATTAGTGGGTCTCCTTTTGCGATATCCACATGTATTACTAACATTATTGTTTACGTTGATTCATACTTTCTTACATATGTACTTTTTTTTTTAACGTTTATTTATTTTTGAGACAGAGAGAGACAGAGCATGAACAGGGGAGGGGCAGAGAGAGAGGGAGACACAGAATCTGAAACAGGCTCCAGGCTCTGAGCTGTCAGCACAGAGCCCGACACAGGGCTCGAACTCATGGACCGTGAGATCATGACCTGAGCCAAAGTCGGACGCTTAACCGACCAAGCCACCCAGGCGCCCCACATATGTACTTTTAAAGAAAAAAAGAACAGCTTCCCTCACTTAACTACCACAAAACTCTGATTAAAAGCTTCAAAATATTCTCAGGACAAGATTCTGCTAGTGGAAGAAAAATCGGATGTCTTAGACATCAAACATTCTCCAGATCTATTCTCAAGTCCAGTTGGGATTTTACGTGGTTGGAGGCCAGATGGGTCTGAGAAACCGGACTCCACGTGACAAGACGGTGTCCTGATTCCGACAGGGTGGAAGCTTCAAAACCGACAGTCACTCCACAAGTCTCCCCTCTGGAATTCAGATGCCAGGTGTGGGTGGCTAATCAGTGAATAGATACACCAGCCAAAATCAAGGACAATCCAAACGATGACTGTGAGGCATTCACACTGGGGGAATGAATTTGGACTCTGCCTGTAAGGACAGGAGTCCGCAAGGAACATGTCTCCCATCTCAGAGTGGGGGATATGGGGCAGTGGAAGCAGAGGCAGGCCTTGTGTGACCAGCAGAATGGACAGACTGAGCTCAGGTTTCAGATGGGGCCAGAGCAACCAGGCTCAAACTCCAGCTCTGTTATCTGCTAGTTCTGTGGTCTTGGGCAAGGCTCTGCTTCAATCTGTAAAAGGGGTCTAAGCGGTGTGGCGTTTAAATGAAACCATATCAATTAAGCCTCGAGGACAGTGCCTGCACATAAGTTATCTGCATATGTTTAAAAGGAAAAACATACTAGGAAATGTTTTGTTGGGGAAATTCCTGATCTAGCCCTGTTGGAGATAGTCCAGTCTCTATGATGGCACTCTTGCCTCCAGTGACCCAGCACTTTTGTATTAAGCCCCTGTGGGGGGCAGGCAGTGGGGATACAGGGGATCAAAGAGACACAGTCCCTGCCTTCATGAAGCTCCTGGTTGAATACAGAAGACAGACGTTCATCAGACAATTTCATAACTACATAGCCAAGACCTGTGATAAGGTGCAGGAGGCTGTGAGGGGTAGTGGTCGGGGAAGGCTTCCTGGAGGACGTGAGGTTTTGAGCTTCAACCTGAAGGGCAAGAGGGGCCGGCCAGGTTAGGAGGTAGGGGCATTCCCAGCAGGGGACCCCATATGTGTGCTAACAACCCATCTGCCGCCCTTCCCCAGGGCAGGGCCATACAATGCATTCCACAAAGCACAGGCTAATAAGCCCGAAGCGACTGTCCTTGGAAACATCTGAACAGGCATTCAAATAACTGGAGAAATCATGAAGAGTTTGTGGAAAAGGACAAAGACTGAGCTGGTGCCACTCTGGGGGTCAGAGAGGTAGTTCCAGGTAAACACGAGGCTCTTCTAACAACCAACACAGGCTGCCTCGGAGGTACCACTCAATCATATTCAAGCAGAGGCTGAAGGGGCCTTCATCAGGGAGGCCCCAGGTAGAAGCTCGGACGTGGACAATGACCACCAGCACTGAGACCTCTGCCAACGGCTAGTGGCCACAGCCGCCTGATCTCACAGTCCATGAGTTTGAGCCCCACATTGGGCTCTGTGCTGTCAGCTCAGAGCCTGGAACCTGCTTCGGATTCTGTGTCTCCCTCTCTCTCTGCCCCTCCCCCACTCATGTTCTGTCTCTATCAAAAAGTGAATAAACATTAAAAAAAATTTTTTTTTAATTCCATCGATTTAAAGAAAAATTGAGTAATAGTGCCAGTGGCAAATACCCAGGTACGGTAAAAATTGGAAATTTCTTCTAGGATGACTGTTGGCTTGGGAGAGCACTGCCAAATACAAATGGGTTTTTTTTTTCTTAGTGTTTACTTATTTTTGAGAGGGGGGAGAAGCAGAGAGAGAGAGGGAGACACAGGATCCAAAGCAGGCTCCGGGCTCTGTGCTGTCACAGAGAGCCCGACGCGGGGCTCGAACCCATGAACCACGAGATCATGACCTGAGTGGAAGCTGAACACAACTGACTGAGCCACCCAGGCCCCCAAATCCAAATAGAAGAAACAGCCAGGGGGCTACGTGTGCCTCCTGACAAGGGAAGAGCAGCAGGGCTCACACATGGGTGGTCCTGCAAGCCAGGGTCAACCGGGCCACCACACGACTCATCCAGGAGGAGGGCGCCAGACCAGCCATGAGCCCCAGGATGAGATTCTGCTTTCTGCCCTCTCGAGGCCTCTGAACGTTCCTAACCTTCCAACCTAGGGCCCTGTCCATTGCTACCGGAGGCTCCGGGGGCCATCTTGCTAGAAGTAACTTGGAAATGAAACAGGTCTTCCAACGAATCCGTGTCAAGCCTGATGCCTTCCATGCTTCTGGGGAAAAGAAGATTTTGTGCACACGTTCCCCCAAGGCAGTAGAAAGTCTTCGCCCTCGGAACACAGCCTCCCGGGGCTTCCTGGGCAAGGCCATTTGCTGCTGTGACCCACAAAGGCGGAAGCAGAGATCTGGGCCCTTGGAGGAAGAACTCTGGAGAAGCGGCCGCTGTACTCGGTCACGACGAGCCGATGCCCGATCCGGGCGGCGCCCCGAAGCCGCGTGTGAGGCTGGGGGAGCGCAGGGGTGCCGGGGACGCTGTGGGGCGTGCAGCTGCCCGGAGCAGTGATGCCTGTCCGGGCCAGCTTGTGGGCTCTGCAAACCAAAATGCGCTGGGGCCTCCGGGGATTTCACAGATTTACTATCGGTGAAGGGCAATGATCACGCGACGAGGGGCAATTATTGCCAAATCATTTAGGATTTAAAAAATCATTGGCAAGAAGATAGAGGTCAAGAGGTGCGCCGTCGGGGGAAATAAAAAACCCCTACCTGTCAGGCCCGGGATGCACTTCCTTTCTGACTGCAATACGGTGAAGGCAGGGCAGAGGCACCCGGCGAGGCTGGACTCCCGGGGAACACGGAGACCCGGAGAGCCGGAGGGGGCACTGAGCCCCGCAGGCAGGTCTTCCGGTCTGAGCTTTCAAGCAGCTTCGTTCACGTTTCTTCAATCTTTGCCTGCCAGCACCCCCTTACCGTCTGCCAGGGGAAGAACCCGCGCTGACAGGTGACCGTGTTTGGGAGCAAGCCCACCTGTCATACACTTTCTGGTCGCCCCAGGACTCTGCCCAGGAGCTCTCCTCCCTCTCCCAGGGCAGCACAGCAGGGCTGGCGGTGAAGGAGCCGGGGGCTCAGTCCAGATCTCAGCCCCGAGGGGCACACACCCCTCCAGGGAGATGCCTCAAGAGGACATCTAGCACTCGATGCGTCCCGGGTCTTCAGCCTGTGGGTTCGGAGGCACCCGGGCCCCCTCAGAGACCCGGAGATGGCCCACTGCTAAGGAATCCCCCCACAGTCCGACACATTAGTGAGGCACAATTCCAAAGCACAGCACAACTCAAAGACCGCTATGTCATAAAAAAGTAAAAACAGTGTGGTAAGGATGGGGGGGATAAAACTGGTAAGGAAGGTAAACGGATACCACCTTTCTGAAACAGAAATAAGCAATGTTCAGGGCACCTGGGTGGCTCAGTCGGTTAAGCGTCCGACTTTGGCTCAGGTCACGATCTCCCAGTTCGTGAGTTCGAGCCCCGCGTCGGGCTCTCTGCTGTCAGTGCAGAGCCCATTCTGGATCCTCTGTCTCTCTCTGTCTCTCTCTCTCCCCACCCCTCCCCCACTTTCTCTCAAAAATAAATAAAACATAAAAAAAAAAAAAAGAAAAAAATAAGCAATGTGCATCATGGCCCAACAACTACCCTCTAGGTAAGATTTCTCCACAAATAATTAGATTTGTACAAAAGGGCACACATACAAGGGTATTCATAGGGTTTGGTACGATAGGAAAATTGGGAGTCATCTAACATCCGACGACAGGGGATATAAAGAACATTATGCTAGCCCATATGGAAGAACACCACAGAGCCACAGACATTATTTTGTGAAAGTGTCTAAAAAGGCACAAAGGAAACTGCTCCCAATACAATGCTGTATTTAATACTTAATATTGGAAAAAAAGAAGATCATTCAAACTGTGTGTTAAAAATGTGTACACAGATGGGGCGCCTGGGTGCCTCAGTCAGTTAAGCGTCTGAATCTTGACTTCAGCTCAGGTCATGATCTCATGGTTGGTGAGCTCGAGCCCCACGATGGTGGGTTCCATGTTGACAGAGCAGAGCCTGTCTGGGATTCCCTGTCCTCCCTCTCTGCCCCTCTCCCCCTCTTGCGTGCTCTCTCTCTCTCTCTCTCTCAAAATAAAAATAAACTTTCAAAAAAAATGTATATGTGGAAACTAAAATACTGGAAGGGTTATGCGGGATTTGTGTTATTCTGGTTCGTAGGATGAGGAACAGTGTTTTTCCTTGTACTTTCTGAATTTTCCCTGTTGCCTTTAACAAACATCACTTACTTCACACGATGAAATTCTTGTGCTTTGAGGAGAAGAAAATCTTATTTTTAAAAAGGCTCTTGGGGCGCCTGGTTGGCTCAGTCGGTTGAGCATCTGATTGCGGCTCAGGTTGTGATCTTGTAGTTCGTGAGTTTGAGCCCTGAGTGGGGGGCTCTGTGGTGACAGCCCAGAGAAGGCTCTGGATGTGCTGCAGCCCCTCTCGCTGCCCCTCCCCCTCCCACGCTCACGCTCACATACACCCTTGCTCTCTTTCTCTCAAAAACAAATAATTATCGTTAATAAGTAAGTAAAGGTTTTACAGACCCCTCGTGACTGGGATACATGCCTACGACAACCTCAGAGCCACAATTTCCCGAAACTCCAGTCTCAAACCCGGGGCTATGGTGTCAGGCCTGTCCCTGTCTGGAGACAGAGCTTCACGTTCAAATCCGGGTTGCAGGAGCTGGTCCGCTCTCTCCCGGTGCTCTGGGCTCACATGGTCCCTGCAAGGTCTCCCTGAACTGACACCCAAGACTCGCGGGTGGCGGGCCTGAGCTGGTGGAGGGGACTGGGGATGGGCTTTCCGTGGAAATTCCCGAGGGGGACTAGGCCATGAGAGAAATGAGTGTCCCTGCTTGGACACTCCCTCCCCACCCACAGGTCTCCCCACCCACAGCCTGTCCCCGTAGCCGCGTAGCTAGAATGAACGATCTGAGAACCAGTGAGCAGAATGACAGCAGAATGACAGAGCCTAGTCCGCGTTTTATGCCCGGCCCTCTTGGGAGAAACCTACAACCCTTGCCCACATGTTTGACAGACCATCCCTAGGTTATTTACCCTCATCCCCTAAGATCCTAACTTTATTTTCTATGGTTGGTATTCAGTCAACAATATTTAGTATTTTTGAAACTAGAAAGTGATACTGTCCTACTTCATGTGCCTTTAAAAAGTCCAATCACCAAACCGAAAAATCCTGCTATGTGGCTGACGCCCCCCTGGAGGCCTGGGGCACAGCAAAGGCCTGGAGGGGATGGGGTACTGGCCACATGCCTCATCAGCAGATTAATCTTGGTTTCGGCACTAGGGTTTCTGTGACTATTCCCTAATGCTGTGGTTCTCACCTGGGGGGCAACCTTGCCCCTGGGGGGATTTTGGCAACATCTGGAGACAGCTGTGGTTTCACAACTGGGGGAAGGGGGTCCTAAGCATCCGGTAATGCACAGAGTGGCTCCCCACCACAAAGAATGATCTGGCTCCCAAATGTCAAGAGTGCCGAGGTGGGGAATCCTGCCTTGACCCAATATGGAGGTGCAAATGCCTATGACGAGGACTGGAGCAAGGACTCCATGAAATAAATAGGTTTGTGGGGCGCCTGGGTGGCTCAGTCGGTTAAGCGTCCGACTTCGGCTCAGATCATGATCTCGCGGTCTGTGAGTTCAAGCCCCGCGTTGGGCTCTGTGCTGACTGCTCAGAGCCTGGAGCCTGTTTCAGATTCTGTGTCTCCCTCTCTCTCTGACCCTCCCCTGTTCATGCTCTGTCTCTGTCTCAAAAATAAATAAACGTTAAAAAACAATTTTTTTTAAAGAAATAAATAGGTTTGTGACGGTTCACGTATTCGAGGTCCTTCCTCTCCAAGCCTTGGGCTCCCCATCAGTGAGATGGGCGCCCCTCAACCCCCAGCTTCTTGGCTGCTGTGTACTGACTCCCGTGCTAACTAAGCACTCTGGTTTCAACAGTCCCAATTTCCATGAAACCTGCATGATTTGCAAAGGACGGAATTTCTACGTATATGGAAAACTGCCAAAACCTTCACATCATTCGGGCTGTAGTATGAAGCTATAAAACCACCCACTGATTCCGAAGCCTTAAGCCATGAGAAATTAGGTATTTCTAGAAGCAACCTTTAAGGTATGTTATTCTTTGCCTTATTACTGAATCCTGGAAAGGGCCTGCTTACCTCTAAGAGGTTTGAATTTCCAACCTATTAGAGTAA